GTGGACTTGTTGCTACAATGGTCCTACGATTGATGATTGCCCATCCAACGGTCCACATTGAAGACACTCAGTAATGGTGGACCGCAAGATGGGACCACCGTGGTCCTTGTTCTAGAGGATTATCAAAGCTAACCAGAAGTATTCTCAATTAATCGCCGCTTTATAAACAGTTTTCTAATTAATTATTTTATTTTAAAAAATAGTGAAATCTTCTTTTATACCATTATAATTAAATAATAAAAGGGAAGGAGAGCTCAAAACCCCATGTAGGGCGACAAGAAGCAGGGCCATTTTGGTCATTATAAGCTAAAGAATAACTTATTATTACCTGCTCCATGCTTTACCTAAAGCTAAAGCGTATTTAATCTTTGCTTAGGGGCACAATCTCATGCAGCCGAGCCTATTCTCAAATTCTGCGCCCGTGCTTTTGTAACCGGTAGTCATTATTTCGTCAATTAAATTGGAGTTATTATTTATAAACGTTAAAAGTTACCCAAACTATTTACTACCTCAGTTATTTAATATTTACCGTCAGCTTTTACCGACAAACAAATCATATTCTATTTATCTTAATTAAAAAAACATTTCTTTTTAAAGAAATCATTGCATTTTGTTAATATTATAAATATTCAAAATTAAAAATAAAATAAAATTTTATTTTTTTTTAAGTTTATTTATCCAAATATATAATTATTGATGTTTATATATTTTATTTATAAATTTGAAGTTTTTTTTATAGCTAGCTACTTAGGAAATGATGGGAATTTATTATTATTATTATTTTGTTGGGATGTTAAAATTTTCAAATAGTCTCATAAATAACTATTGATTTGATTGAAATGCATATCTTACCTCAAATATAGAACTATGACCCTACTCTAAGTTTTTTTTTTTTTTTCTTCTTAATAAATGTTTCCATCCGTATTAATATATATATATATATATAATCTTAATTTGTTTTATCTACCACTGGAGTTTATACACCTTGACCTAGGTTGGTGGGTCGAATAATTCAAATAGATTTTACCGCTCAACCAGACTCTCTATTTTCATGTTGGTTTTGTTGAGAAATATTGACAGGAGCCACACATTAGCTAATTAAGAATAAGATCATGGATTTATAAGCAAGGAGTATATGTCCGTTGGTACGAGACTTTTTGGACAATCAAAAATAAAGTCATGATGCGGACAACAGAAGGTTTGTGGTTCCTAACCAGACGAGGTTGGATTGTCGGGTTGTTTACTTTTAGTTATTGAGAATATCTTACATACCCATTAGAGCTTATAGTCAGAGTGGACAATATCGTACTACTTGTGTGGAGGTTCAACAAAATTTTATGTACTAACTAAAATCTTTAATATATATAATATCAAATATTTAAAAGTCGCAATGCATAGTATAATCAAAATTTTTAGTTGATCACATTAACCCGATAAAGAAAATGTCAATGGACCTAACTGAATTTTCAATTTTTTAAAAAGTCCTAACACATATTTGAAACCAAATAATAATAACCCAACCCAACCTTTAAAGTTTAGGTTTGATAGTCCAGGTTCGTCCGGTTATTAAATATTTGACTTAGTTTATAAATTTTGAACTCGTAACAGTTTATTATCTATAATTTAGTGCGAAAATCTTCATCCATATTTTAAATGGACAAAATTTTGAATATGTTATGCTCGTGGTCCTAATACTTGTCGCACTGTTGATGGTTTCCTCTTGAGACTACCGTACACGGTGCTAGACTTTATCTAATATCTCCAAAAATAAATGTTTTTAGTACGTTCCGCTCGTGTGTTCTAGACTATTTGGTTAATACACTTCATTTTTGAATAGCTCACTTTTAGGTTAGTAAAATTTAATTTATTTTTGTTATTATGATCAAATTTAATTATAATTACTTTTTTAACAGCAATGAGCAACACAATGAAATTTAATTATTGGAATTTTCAATAATTTAAATCCATTTTTTTTTATAAAAGTGGAAAATAATAGATTAAATAAAGAGGTTTCCAAATAATGAATGTGGGATACCGCTCTCAATTGTCATCATTTAATTCCTAATATTTGTCTCAATTTCAGCTCACATGACAGAAGTATTCATACTTTTTTTTGGTTAGGTGTTACCCATTCATTCATTTATTTAAATTAGTTGTTTGATAAAGCTGTCTAATTACATAATTGCCCCTTGTCGAGAATCCAAATTTGCACGAAAAATATGGGAGACAGCAAAAATATATGCAACGAGAGCGTACAAGTAAGTTGCTCACTATGAATATTTATATACTCAATCCTTTTTATATTTTATTTTTCAGGTGCGTGACGCAAGGGGGTGCTCAGTGTCACAATCATGCTTGTCTAAGGCGTGTTGTCTATGGTCGCATGTTGGATGTTGGATGTCCCATCATACTTGTTTATGACGTGTTGTCCACGACTACATGCCCGTTCCAAACCCCTTTTACTTGCTGTCGTGTTAGGTAGGCTTTTACTATTACTGTTGTGTCAAGACAGGTTATATGACTGGTCGCCAAAATTATGTCTACGTCCTGTTAGGGTTAAAATTATCCAAAATGTACAATAAGGGGATGTTTTTCCTACCTAGGTTATATGCTATCAGAGCCGTTATTGTTTCTTACTCGTTTTTAGCTTATAACATTACTTTCATATTTCCTCACTCAAGTTTTTCTCAACCATGATTCAAGGCTCGAGCATATGCCAATATTGTCCCACGAAGTGCAAATTTCACACGATTGATTCGTTCATTGGGTTAAAATAAATGCAGTACAATCGTTGTCCTATTGCAGTAAGAGTGCAATTGTGACACGCAAGAGTTCAGTAGTAACATAGGAATGTTGCCTCGGGGGCGTCTGTCTAGTCCACATATTTTGTATTCGCCATTTTCAGCACAAATTTTCAGTACAAATTTGTATCTTATTTTAACCCAATGTACTCGTTTTTAGCTTATAATATTACTTTCACATTTCCTCACTCATGTTTTTCTCAACCGTGACTCAAGGCACGAACATATGTCAATATTGTCCCACGAAGTGCAAATTTTACACGACTGACTCATTCATTAGGTTAAAATAAGTGCAATACAATCGTTATCCCGTTGCAGCAAGAGTGCAATTGTGGCACTCAAGAGCTCAGTAGTAACAGAGGAATGTTGCCTCGGGGGCGTCTGTTCAGTCCACATATTTTGTACTCGCCATTTTCAGTACAAATTCGTATCTCATTCTCCATTTCCACTTTTAAACGAACATAACATACAACATAGTTTGTTAGTCACATTTGGTCTTTCGGTGCCTCAAAATTCAAGATGGGACACGTAAATAAAAATTATATTTCTCGTATTTATATTATATATATATATATATATTATATTTAAAAAATATGAATAAAAATAAAATTGGCATCTATAATTGATTGATTTGTTTATTGTGAGCATTTAAAAAAATACGGTTGACTTGCAGCTGAAAGTAAGAATCTCATCCTTTGATTGAATGACGTGTCGCCATTTACACTTCATGCATCAATTTTATTTTATCAAAACTTACGACCTTAGGTATTGAATATTCCAAACGTTTCGTGCTGTTATAATTCGAATGACTCAATTTTTATTTATATTCAAAAATAAAATAAATAAATGTTACGGTTATAATTATTTTTTTAATTGTTATTTGTAATTATTTTGGATATTTTTAATGGTTGACATTAATAAAATTATGTGGCAGACAACTCAATTTAAAAATATTCTGTCCACGTCATACGGTGCGTTTTGAAATAAAAATAAAATAAAAATAATTATCCTTTCGTTTTCATATCAAATTATTCGTGTTCCGTAAGTCAATATAAATGACAGTGAAATATTAAATGAAATTAAATTCAATAATGTTTGGATTATTAAAAAATTATATATTATTTTGAGTGATTATTTAAGTGAAAATTAACTGACGTTTGAAGAAAATTATTAATGGATTACGACTCTCTATTCGTGTTTCGTAAAATCTTTGGCGTAGAGATCGAGACCTAGGTCGAGAATAGAGATGGAGAATGTAATTTCATTCTCGTGAGATCTCACATCAGTTGGAGGGGGAAACAAAACGTTTCTTGTGAGGGTATGAAAACCTCTCCTATTATAAGCGTTTTAAAACCTTGAAGGGAAAACTAAAAAAAGATAATATCTGTCAGCGGTAGCTTGAACTATTACAAATAGTATCAGAGCCAGCGTTGAACAGTACAAGTCACTAGTTGAAGTAGAGATAAATCTTTTCCATATTAGACGCGTTTTAAAATTGTGAGGTTGACGATGACATGTAACGGACCAAAGCAGACAATATCTACAAGCGGTGGACTTAGACTATTACAATTCTCGACCCCATTTAAATAAAGACTCTCAAAATAGCTATTTAATGAGCCACTTTCTACCGGTTAAATAAATATTTCTATTGAGTACTGTTGAAATATAATATGTAGTTATGAAATATGAATAAATATTATTTTTTAATACTCTTTTATCTTATGATTTGATTTATAATATATTTTATTTTATTTTTAATATTTAATTAATTTATATTTTCTGAATAGGTATTGGTGGGTAACTTGTATCTTATTTAAAGGTTATGAATATCGATAAGAATACACACCTTCCATCCAATTCTATTTCTCGTTCTTAGTTGGTACAAAAAAAAAAATTTATAATTTTTTTTTTAAAAACTTATGATTATTAATATATATATATTATTATTTTTTAATTTGGTCGAGCTTTTATAATATAATGAAAATGATTTAATAGCGCTAATAATCAGAATTTTTATTACCAATTTTTTAATTAATAAAATCATAGAAAAGCTATGCATTACATAAGTTCTAAAATAATCCACGTGTTGCAAAAGCATTGGTCAAATAGATTTGAAGGCACTATTTTTCCCTCCGTTTTTGTCGTCATATAAAGAGAAGAAAAAAAAAATAAAAATAATTACAAAAAGAAAAATTCATGTTCATGGTCGGTCACTGTTTCTCACTTCAAAGTCGTATAGCTGAATCTCACCTTCCCATCAATGGCTACCATACGGGTTATATTTTCATCTACTCTCCTTTTCGCTTTATCTTTTCCTTCTCTCATCTCTCTCTTTTTTATATAAATATAATCTCGCTCTGCAAATTTCCACCAACTTTCATTGACCATGGCTGGCGAGTTTTCCAACTGCGTTGAGTACGGTCTCCATTTGTCGAAGCGAATTTACTATGGCAAAGGATCGGCGCCGGCGGCTTTAGGGCGGCAGATGTCTAGAGTATCGGAGGATTACCTTCCGACGGCTCCGATGGTGTATGCCGTTATACCGGACCCGACGATTGTGGACAATCCGGATGTTCCGAGCTATCAACCTTACGTGCACGGGCGCTGCGTACCACCGGTGTTGATTCCGCTGCATATGAATGGAGTTGCCATGGAAATCGATTGTTGTTTCGATACTGCGTTCATTGGCGTTAGCGGAACGTGGCGCGTGCATTGCGTGATGGCGGGGAAAGGCTGTGAGTGCCTTATTGCGGTACCAATGGGAGAGCAGGTAGCCAGATTTTTCTCCATTATATTCTGAAACCTTGAGTTTATTGGTTTAGGTCGTACTGGTCAATCTGTAGTCGTGATTCGTCGCGCTTATGGGAGATGTTGTTTATTTGAGTTCTGGAATTACTCTTACTGCAGCTGTAGCTACGTAAGCAAATCCGAATCTCGATTTGGAAAATGCTCTATGAAGTTTTGCATTCTGAAATTGCTTTGGAGTCTCAATCGAATTGAAATTTTGTCTTTCGAATTGACTCCAGTGTTATTTTAATTGAGATTCTACAAGGTCAATTAATCAATCAAACGTAACAGAGATTTTCTTTGTTAATCGTATGCCTGAAAGGATGTTAAAGTGTAGTCGATTGTTAAATTCTTCATCCAATTGATTGGGACTTGCGTTTCCATGACAAGCTGCATAAGTCCCTATCCTTCGACTTTCCATTTTTGCATTCTGAAAAAAACATTGTGGCTAACAGGGTTCACTTCTAGGTGTTGAAGTCGATGTTAGTGGAACGTCATATCGCACTGAATTAGTCTCCATGGAAGACGCGGAAGCTATACAGAAACTAGCAAAATCTGAAGATGGAAAGTTTCTGAAAGGGCGCCGGATATACACATTAAAAATCCCCAAGGTTACATCGCTTTAATCCTGTATATTTTTTCATCATGATCTGCTGTTCATTCTACCTCAAGGGTAAATAAGATACAGTTGTTCTCCAGGTCGATGGTGGCTGTACTCTTTCAGTTCGAATCAATTGGTCCCAGAGAATACCATACCTTGATGATCTCTTCTGTCTCAATGTACCTTTCAATTTTCCAGCATATTTAGTTCCTCCTGGGAAAAAAGTCAAGAATATTCAGAAGATCTTATTGCATATAAATTCCGGTATTTCATCAGAAATTGTATGTAAACATACAAGCCATCCGATGAAGGTAATGCAAAGGTCTCACGAGATAATACTAGTTTCAGAATTTACCGAATATGACTGAATTTTTGTATTATCTTCTAGATACTAAGTCGAGAGGTTGGCAGCTTAAGTTTCTCAAATGAGACAGAGGTCTCAGCATGGTCAAATATAGATTTCGAGCTTTCGTATTCTGTAAGTATCATTTATTTGAATCTTTTCTGAGGAAAACTTGAAGAATTTCTTGTTTTCAGAAACCCAAAACTTTCGCCCCAGTTGGGAAATGCTGCATGGTTAAGTTCATTTCTACCTGTTGGCAGATTTCTCCTAGTGACTTGTTTGGGGGTGTTCTGCTCCAATCGCCATCTCTTCATGATTTTGATCAAAGAGAGATGTTTTGTCTGTACATTTTCCCCGGCCAGAACCAGAACCGGAAGGTTTGTTCTTTTTCTTTTTTTAGTACAGAAATATGTGGGATTAGATTTTAACCTCTTCCTTCGAGTAAAAAGTAAAAAGTGATTGAGAATTGTTGGGAGAGTAGTTCTACATTGGCCAATTAAGAGGAAGATCATGAGTTATAAGTAAAAGAATACTATCTCCATTTGTATGAAGTCTTTTGGAGAAACCAAAAGTAAAGTTACAAGAGCTTATGCTCAAAGTAGACAATATCACTCACGGTAGTTCGGGCCCTTCTTTTTTCTTTGGTTGGTAGGTAATTAATTTTGTGTCATTGATTTGGCAGGCCCTATTTTAACGTCTCACTGTTTTTCTTTGTTAGGTTTTCAGAAAGGAAGTAGTATTTATTATTGACATAAGTGGAAGCATGAAGGGTGGTCCTCTCGAGAGTACAAAACGCGCAGTGCTCGCGTCAATTTCGAAGTTGAATCATGAAGATACATTTAACATTATAGCGTTCAATGGAGACACTAAATTATTTTCATCATCGATGGAGCAAGCAACCAACGAAGCAATTACTAGAGCAACAGAATGGATTGACGCTAATCTAGTAGCTAATGGTGGCACTAACATCCTGCTTCCCGTGGAACAGGTAACCTTGGCCCATAAGCCTTAACTACATTACCTTCCATTGTGTTTAGTTAGCAATTAAGGTGTGTTAACCCTTTTCATTTGGTCATCTTCATAGAGGTTTTTGGTTCACAGTGTTATTCTATTGCAGGCTATAAAGATGTTGGCTGAAACTGGAAATTCAATTCCCCTCATTTTTCTCATTACAGATGGCTCTGTTAATAATGAGAGAGAAATATGTAATCTTGTGAAAGCTTCTTTGAAGAGTGGAAAGGCGATCACTCCTCGTTTATGTACTTTTGGTATTGGTAAGACCTTGCCTTACTGTTCTTTCAAGAAATATTTGATGTCCTGAGTAAAAACATTTAAATAAAAACAATTGTTTAAATTCTGCTTGAGTTCAAATCCTTGAAGAAAACGAGTTCGCTCCCTGAAATATTGTCCGAGAGGACCCACAAAATGTGAATGAAATCGAAGGCTATATTGCTTCAATTATTGATCTCGTTTTAGGACACTCCTCAAGGCAGGGCCCTAGGACTATTGAACTCACTAGACTTTTTTGAGTTTAGCACACACAATAATTTGGGGGGAAAAGACAACAACACTTGTTTCATTCACAAACAATGTGGGTTAACATGATAATAATTCTACTGGCATAACCTGATTATAGTACTCCATGGTATTTATGGTTTCCTTTTGCTCTTTATTAACTGCTTCCCATTAATTTGGCTCATCTATAATGTGAATAGTTACTTGCATTCGATCTGAAATTTTACGTTTATTGATGTTTAAAGCTTTTCCCAGGTACATATTGCAACCATTACTTCTTACAAATGCTATCAGAAATTGGAAGGGGTGTGTACGATGCTGCTTATGATGTAGGTGAATATCTCTTTCTCTGACTGATGCTATAATGATCCATTTTCTTGTGGTACTCCCGTAATTTTCTTGTATTGAAGCAATAAATCGTTTCGAAAGGAATTTTTTTTGGCCCCATGACTACAAGGTAAAAATTCCCACCGGTTCTTACTTTGATAATAGGGTGTTGTTCATTAGACTGATGTGAATGAAATTGAGGTAGCAGCCTTAATTAATATGGTATAGTTAAACGGTGAGCTAAACAAAAACTACAAATCTTAGAGATTCATCACACGAAATAAACCCCGTTTTTTAAGTTTTTTTTAATGAGTAAGAGGCGTTTATGTTTTATTGTTCATCCATCTAATTTCTCCGTCTTTTTTTTGCCAGATTTGATTGATTCTCGGTTCCAGATGTTATTCACAAAAGCCTCATCGCTCTTTCTCGCCAACATCACCGTGGATGCTTTCAAGCATCTTGCTTCCCTTGAGGTTAACAATTCTTGAAGAACTTCTTTCTGTTTTCAGTCATACTTATGAAGTCCCGATCTTTCTTCCACAGACACTACTCTCTTATTTTCTGACTGCATCTTGACATTCCTTTCCAACATGATGTTCTTGTGCAGTTGTTTCCAACTCAAATTCCGGACCTTGCATGTGGAAGCCCGTTGATAGTATCAGGCCGATACAATGGAAGGTTTCCAGAGTCGTTCAAAGTTAGTGGCATCTTAGCGGATATGAGCGATTCCGCAATCCATCTCAAATCCCAAAGAGCTAAAGAACTGCTTCTTGAAAGGGTACTGGTTCTCCCTTCCTGCTATAGGATGATCAATCATAATTTTCTTTTGGGATTTCTTTCGCCAACATAAAGTTTTAGTATTATAATTATTTTTTATAAGCAGTCTTGCTATACATGTTGAGGATTGTTGGGAGGGAGTCCACGTTGACTAATTTAGAGATGATCATGGATTTATAAGCAAGAAATATATCTTCATTGGTATGAGGCCTTTTGGGAAAGTCCAAAGCAAAACCACGAGAGCTTATGCTCAAAGTGGACAATATCAGTAGACATTATCATACTATTGTAGAGCGTCATGATTCCTAACGTGTCGTTGGTGGTCGTACTAATAATTGTATTGCATACTCTTTTGACGAGGGGCCTTCATTCTCTTACTCCTTTCTACTGCAGGTGCTTGCGAGAAGACAAATTGATATAATGACTTCACATGCATGGTTATTGGAGAGCAAGGACCTAGAAGATAAGGTTCGTGGCTTATATCTGTTTGTTTACAGGGTCAACCATAATGATCACCGTGGATGAAGTTTCAATTAGCTTAAGCTTTTGAGATTGAATGGATCCTATGAGCCTGCCAGAATAGAGAAAAAATTGAGGATAATATTAACGTCATTCACAGTAATGATGGTTTATCTAATCCCGGTTTAATTCTGTTTGATTTGCCTCTTCCAGATTGCTTGTATGAGCAAACAAACTGGGTTTCCGTCCGAGTATACACGTTTGATTCTAATGCTGACCAAGGAAGGGAAAAAGGCTCCACCATCCATCATCGTACAGGAGGTAAGATTTCCCTCTAAACTTCTGGAATCTGCCCTTGTTTTCAGGAGAATATTTGAGCAGCCGGAAGATTATCGCTAGCAGTTCTTTTGATAAATGAGCAAAACTATGATATAACCATATATTTCATAGTTTTGAGTTTAGAAGCCTTTGGCTTTTTGGGTCTCTGCCTTAGCAAGTCAATCAATAGTCACATTTAATAATTTTTTCCACTGTCCAAGAATCTTGGTAAAATTATAACCATTGGAGATTCTTTTATGACCCATATTCATTAGAATACTAAAGAATACTGAAATCGAAGATCGTTGGGAGGGAGCCCCACATTGGCTAATTCCTAATTAAAGGAATGATCATATGTTTATAAGGAAGGAATACATCTTCATTGGTACGAGACCTTTTGGGAAAACCAAAAGTAAAGTCACAAGAGCTTATGCTCAAACTGGACAATATCATACTATTTTGGAGGTATGTGGGTCCTAACATGGTATTAGAGTCAGAGTCGTGCATTAACTTAGCCATGTCAATAGAATTCTCAAGTGTCGAACAAAGAAGTTGTGAGCTTCGAACGTGAAGTCAAAAGTGAATTAAGTGTCGTCGAACAAAGGGTATACTTTGTTCGAGGACTTCATAGGCTTCAAGGGAGGCTATATGGTGTACTTTGTTCAGGAGAAAGATTCTTGAGGATGGTTGGGAGAGAGTCCTACATTGGCTAATTAAAGGAAGGTTCTGATGAAGATCATGAGTATACGAGAGGAATACTATCTCTATTGGTATGAGGCCTTTTGAGAAGCCCATAACAAAGCCATGAGAGCTTATGCTCAAAGTGGACGATATCATACCATTGTGGAGATCCGTGATTCCTGACATGTTATCAGAGCCATGTCCTAAACTTAGTCATGTCAATAGAATCCTCAAATATCGAACAAAGAACTGTGAGCCTCGAAGGTGTAGTCTGAAGTGACTAAAGTGTCGAACAAAGGGTGTACTCTTTATTCGAGGGCTCCAGATAAAGGAGTCGAGCCTCGATTAAAGGGAGGCTATTCGAGAGCTCCATAAGCCTTAGGGGAGGCTTGTAATGTATTTTGTTCGAGGGAAGGATTGTTAAGGATTATTTGGAGTGAGTCCCACGTTGGTTAATTATTAAAAAATCCCATGAATCGAACATTTGTTTACCTTCAAATCATTACATTACCAAAAGAAAATTGCTAATTTTGTCATATAAAACAGATGCGCAAGAGAATGGACATGTGGAAGTCGAATAAGGTAGAATGGAAGGGGCAAGAGATCGTTTTATTGGGGAACCAAGGCGTTGGATTTGGGAACCTGACCGCAACCGCGGAGAATGCGCAGCCAGGAAAGGAAATAAAGGCAACTCAAGCAACAGATTTGTTGGTGAAAGCCGCTACAAATTGCTGTGGGCGACTGATAGACCGGTTCTGTTGCATGTGTTTCATAAAGTCTTGTATGTACATGAATGACAGGTGCGTCGTGGCTTTTACACAACTCTCCGCCGCTCTTGCCTGCTGTGAGATCTTTAATTGCTGCTTTGAATTATGTGAATGTGATTGCTTCTAATGTTAATACTACTTTATATCATATTTATAAGGTGAAATATTGAGGTCTTGTTTTGTTTAGCTCAATCATTCCTTTGGGGAGAGGAATTGAATCATCTAACTAACTCTAGCTTATCCTTAATTATAGATTTGACAATATATCGTCCCAAAAAACCATTTTTTCGTGACTAGTAAAGTATGCTAGCAAACAACGTAGAACTAGACAATAACATATATATCTAGCTTTGTTAAGAATGAGAAATATAAGTGGGATTGAAAGTCCAATCTTTATTTATTTAACTTTGTTGGTTTGCAAGTTGAATTTTCCATTATGGTGTCTCAGTTATTATATTTTTACCTTTGGAGTGAATATTAATGTACGTCCCATTCAAAATCAAGATTGGAATGAAATAACAAATTTTACGAAAGTAACTGTTTACTCTTATAAATAGCAGTGTTTTCGATTCGTGGAGTTGCATTGAGAGAGGGGGACGACTAGTTGTGAGCTCAACCTTTTACAACCGACCCTTAAAGTTAGGTTTTTCGTTTGTTTTTTTTTATAGATTTTACGTAATTACAAGTGTTTCGTATTGAAGGGTATGTTTGGGAGTAGCTCATTAGTTATATTCGCATCTTTAATTTCCTTTACGAAGGCTCATGCTCCACATTTGTGATGATATTTAAGAAAATAATAGTACTTATTCCTCCCAATTATTATGTTTGTTTATAATTTAAAATATTTATTCACAAAGTATTTATAGAGTGCTTCTGATCTCGACGCTCGAAAGCGTTTTTAATTTTTAATAATATAAAGTCATACATTAATATGATATATAACTTTTTTTAGTACCTCGTAATTAGATCTCTCGTGGGCTAAAAAACATACCCTATGATCATTCATTTACACTCCATTTTAAAAAAAGAAACTCACAATTTTATACTCTATTTTTTTAGTGAATTAAGAGTTTATGTGATTTTTTAAATCATTTTTAGTCAAAATTTAAAATAAGATCAATTTACAGATTAAAAATTTAAGTTAATATTACAACTCACCTAAAATTAGAAGCCCAGCCAAGAATTTTAAAAATAAGTTTGATGGAAAAAAAATAAAAAACCATATTAAGTCTTAAAAATGGTGCTCTTAAGAGGTTCTAGAAGATTTCAAAAAGTGTTTCCTAGTTTGATTAAATTATTAAAATTAAAATTAAAAACAAAGTTTAGTTTTCGAGATATATTTTATGAATTCTTTTTTATACTAAAATGCAATATAATATTGCAATTTCAAAAAAAAAAAAAGATTATTTTTAGAGTTAAAAGAGTATGAATATTTATAGATTACCAAATTATAAATATTAAATTGGGTTGAATTTTAAAAAAATAAAAAATATGGGGAGAATATTTATTTTTAAAAAAGTTGTACGATACTTTTAAAAAAACAAGAATATTTAAAGTTCGTGCAAACTATTTTCGAATTTTAACACGTGTAAGACAAGTAAGGAGACGGCGTCAGGGACTATCGAAGTCCAGCACGCTCCACGTGTCCTTAATTAACTTTATAAACCCGGTCCGTTTCTTAGACAAATTCTCTAATCCTTCGGCTTCGCGTAGTTACCGCGATATTCTTCCTCTCTCTCTCTCCCCCCTAAAACAATGCCCGCGCCCCTCGTTTTGTAGCGCTTCATACTTTCCCGCCATTATACTGATCTACAAGTGCTCGAGTTTCTATTGTCGTTCTTTTCGTTGCAGCTTCTCAATCTCGATTCGACCAATCGCAGGTGCGTGTTTTCGATCGGTTATAGAGGTTAAGGAACTGCAGGATTAGATAGCGTTCTTGAAATTACTGAATATTTGTTGAAACGGATTGTATGCCTAGCTGTAGCGGTTGAGATTACTGACTGTGAGTTCGTTTAGCTGAAATACTTTAAGTATCCGATGTTCTTCGGCCTTGGGCCTCGGAAGTTCTGAATCCAATGGATTTTTTTTTAACTTGACGCGATTTTGAGTGATATTGTTGTTGTTGCAGTTTCTCCCCAGGATATGAAGATCCGTTTGGTTTTGCTCGGTTCGCGGTTTCTATTTTTCTTCGTTCTCGTTTCTATCGCATTTTCTGGCATGTAAGTAATGCTATGGCGTCATGTTTCCTTTCGAAAATTTCTGATCATCTCGCTGCTTAGGAGTGAGTAGAGGAATCTAGTATTTGTCATCAGCATCGGTAATCATACTGTTTTCGTTTGATTAGAGATAGAAGCGAAAGGTTGCTTGGTACATATTTACATCATTTCTTGTATCTTAGACAGAACTAGTGTTAGATGATTTAGCTAATCGGACGTAAATCCAATTGTTAATGATGGAAATAAAAAAAAAAAAAGAATGCTGGTTGGAAATTTCTCTTAGCTATGGATGATTCTGTTGAGCAATTTCCGGAACTGATTTCTTTTTAATTTGTACATTTAAATTAAATGACATTAAGTTGACTTAGTTTACTTTTTTTGGTTGTCTTGAAGATCTTGTCACGAGCATTGAAATCTCCGTTTCTCCTTATTATCATCAATCATATTAACATTGCGATATTTGAAGTGACACTACTTCATTGTCTCAATCTACTTTGATCTTACCCTGACATTTCTACTCATGGTAACTTGTTTTTCGTTTCTTGAAGATCTTTTTGTCTTTTGCACGATAAATAATTCGTAAAATATTGAAGCCCTGATTTTAGATTTGCAAGTAATGGAGGTATGGAAACGGAGAAAACATTGGCTATGATAAAACCAGATGGCTTGCGCGGTAACTACACCGATAGAATCAGAAGGGCCATTGTGGAGTCCGGATTCAGGATTTTGAAGGAAAGAGTAGTTGAATTGGATGAAGATAGAGCAAGTCGCTTTTATGCTGAACATTCGTCAAAAAGCTTCTTTCCTACTTTGGTCAAATACATGACGAGGTACATATTAAATCTTTGAAATGTTGTCAAGTTTCCTCTGCTAATACTCATTTGCATAATTTCATATGATCCGTGGTACTAGTGTATTAATACTGACGTGTACTTTACTGCATTTAAACTGCTTTCCTCTGCATTAATTTGCTAGCAAGTGGTGAATATGTTTGTCACTCCTGCGATTTAGCAGCCATTACACCATATCTGTGTGTACTGAAAAAAGAAAAATTTGAAAGTGCTGATATTGCAAGATTACTGATTCATTCTGTGACTATTTTGTCGAGGACTATTAAGAGGAGTAGTCCTACATTGGCTAATTAAGAGGAAGATCATGGATTTATAAGTAAGGAACACTATCTTCATTGACATGAGACCTTTTGGGAAACCAAAAGCAAAGCCATGAGAGCTTATACTCAAAGTGGACAATATCATACCATTGTGGAAATTTGTGATTCCTAACATGGTATCAGAGCCATGCTCAACTTAGCCATGCCAACAGAATCCTTAAGTGTCGAACAAAGAAGTTGTGAGTCTCAAAGGTGGTGTTAAAGGTGACTCAAGTGTCGAACAAATAATGTATTTTGTTCGAGGGCTCCAGAGAAGGAGTCGAGCCTCAATTAAGGGGAGGTTGTTTGAGAGCTCCCAAGAATGAGGCCTCATGGGGGCTCTATGATGTACTTTGTTCGAGGGGAAAATTGTTGATGATTATTAAGAGGAGTAGTCCCACATCGACAAATTAAGAGAAAGATCACGGATTTATAAGTAAGGAACACTATCTCTATTGGCATGAGGCATTTTGAGAAAACCAAAAAAACAAAGCCATGAGAATAGTGGACAATATCATACCACTGTGGAGATTCGTGATTCCTAACATATTTATCTTACGTTCTTTTCGAGTAATTTCAGTTATGAATTAGCAACATAGAGAAGTTCATGATACGTACCTCAAGCTTATCAGATGTTCATCAGTGTGGTTCTCCACCTTGAGCAGCCATATTCTCATCGTTTAACTTAGTTGAAATATGGGTCTATGTAGAAGACATTAAAATCAATCTGGACTTCTAATCTATCTTTTTGTAGCCATATGTAAAGGTTTTAAACAAACATGAAATCTTTCTTGAATTGTGCGATTGTGTAAGTTCTTGCATAATGGTGTTCTTCCTCTGTCTAACACTGTTCATTAGTGGCCCAGTATGCGTTATGGTTTTGGAGAAACAAAATGCCATTGCAGATTGGCGTGCTATGATTGGGCCAACAGATGCAACGAAAGCTAAGGCTACGCATCCTAATAGGTCATAAATTTTTATCTTCGTCTCTATATATAGTTTGCCTCCAGAAGTTTGAGATATGAATTCCGTACTGATTTTCATTCACTTACCAGTTCACTTTAAGTTTTGGCTTTTATTATGGTCTCTTGCACGATTTCAGCATTAGGGCAATGTGTGGCTTGGATTCAGAGAAAAACTGTGTTCATGGTTCAGATTCTCTTCAATCAGCTCAAAGAGAGATCTCATTTTTCTTTGAAGAAACTGGTAAATTCTATTCCCTCTATCACATATATATAAAATGCATATTATTTGTTTGTCCGCGTTCTACTTTCGTTTTTTATCACTGCAATACTTTTTACTGTCATATTTATAGTGTCACACATTCTTGCGATCTATTTGGGGAAACATGCAGCTATCCGTTAATGTCAAAATCCTATAAATGAAAGTAAAAATGCAATATTGATTGATGTAGAAATAAATGTTGTACAATAGAATCAGAAGCTGTAAATTCTAGATAGGAGGAGGGTACTGGTTGGGAGCGGACAGAGGCTAGATTTATCTGCCATTTACAACAAAACCCATTTTTTTAGATTATAAAGATTTTTTAAAATTATATTTCTCATAGAAAATGATAAAATGAAACTTTTCTTCAATTCTTCTCCCACAAGGCACGTCTGTTTCTTGGTCCTTAAAAGCGTACTCTCTTTTCTGTTATTGTACTTCTTTTGACAGGTGAAATAGTTGGAAAACATGATGAATTATAATCATTAAGCAGTCAGCGTAGAAGAATGACTAGATCTTATGGACGACTTTATATTTTTATTCTCAAATTCCAAACATGCATTGCTGCCAGCCCCCACCCAAAATTCTTCTGGACGTTGGCAAGCCGATACCTTGTACTGTGCACATCTCACGCGCTCATTTGGATATTTGTGTGCTATTTGTGGATGTTACAATTATGCTCAGTGCCTGTATTAGAAATTTAGAACTTGTTTTCCCATGACCTGTTTGTCAGTTTTATTTATCTTTTGTTACTTTTAAGAAGGATTTGTTTCAATCCATAAATGCTACTATTAGGAAGATAAAACCATTGGTTGGTGATGAGGGGTCTGTGGCTTCTTACGACCTTATTTAAACAGGATCTGTTCTATAGGTTGTAAAATTGTGATCTTATCCCGTAGCCTCTTTAGTTTATTAAGTTTTAGGTTTTTTATTTGTTTTATAGTTTTAGTTAGACATGCTGCACACCTGTAATTGTTCCTGTTTGCCCTGGTAACAGCGTAGGGCAGTAAATGACGGGCTGCAATGCTTTTCAATTAGAAATTTTCATTCAATAAAAACTTCAATATTTGTGCTTCACCCGTTGGTAATGATAATATTCCAAAAATTAAGTGTAGTTCTCCTCGATCCTTGTGATTTTCTTCCTTAGACAGGCCTAACATGTGCACTTTAGGACATGTTGACTCACACTTTAGGACATGTTGACTCACACTTTAGGACATGTTGAGGATTGTTGGGAAGGAGTCCTATGTTGGCTAATTTAGGGAATGATCATGAGTTTATTAGTAAGGAATATATCTCCAATAGTATGATGCCATTTTGGGAAGCCCAAAGCAAAGTCATGAGAGCTTATGCTCAAAATGGACAATATCATATCATTGTAGAGAGTCGTTATTCCTAACCGAACACGCCTTCACATACATGCCTTCACGTTAAGTGGTGAGTGTCTTTTCTCTACTGTCTCTTTCTCTCTTCTTTCTTTCAGTAATTTTTTGGAATAACGTTCTGTCTCACTTATAGTATTGTATGTTCTTTTTACCGGGATATGGGGTTGAAAACAACTCTTTTGTAGAAACACTCACTCTATACCAAAGACCAATCAATAAGAGATTACAAAAACTCTTTACGATCCTACTACACCTTGCTTTTCTTGGAAAAACTTGGTGGAGGAGAATATCTACAGTAGAGGCTACACAATGTAGACACACTCGTGATCTTATTGATTTATTCTTAAAACTTTTTTTTAAAAAAAAAACATTCTATAAAACTTGTAGACAATGGACTTATGCAATTATTGAGTTTGACTCTATTGGGCTAGTGACGATCTTTTATTGATGTTTCTAAAGGACATGAAGGTGTTCTAAAGGACATGAAGGTGATCATAAGAATTTTAATGATTCAAGATGACGTAGAATTAATGACTCTGGCTAATCAGCAGGTTCGATTTCTTGGGCAATCTTTGTTTTGGTCGTTGGTCTCTGGTGTGCGGTTGAGATAGAGAAATGTGCGGGTTCACGATTATTTAGCTAATCAGCAGTTTATACGTAGATGGAAAATTAGCTTAGCCGTCTTAGTTATTGAGAATTAGATTAGCCATCTTCGAGTAGGTTTTCCTTTGCAACCCCCTTTCTCCGTAGACAAATATCTTTAAGGCATGAACAACCAAGTTCGATTAATTTTTCAGTGATAAAATTGTTCACTGAATCATGTAGGGAGGATCTACACTTAAGTTGGTGACTGGACATCATTTGGAAGGCTAGTCTTTGTTCACGAAGGAGTAGGCATATGGAGCTAGGATGCATGTGAAAATCATTTGAATATTAGGTCTTATCTGATAAACATGTTTTTAAAATTTAAGGTAAGTTTTGAAAATTAAAATACATTTTAAAATAGTTTTTGTTTTCAATCTCATATACATTTTAACATAGTTTTTATTTTTACTTCAAAACCTGACTTTATATCCTTTTAACTTAAAAATGGTGGTTAAGGTTTGAGATAACTTTTAATATTTTGACACTATCAATTTTTATCTCTTATGTACTAACTTTTATGCCCATTGCACCCAAAGTTGAGTTGAAATTTTCTATTTATAGGCGAAAGTCGTCCTTGTATCACCATGCATAGCCTATGTTTTGCATCTATTGATTAGAAGGTAATTGAGTCTGTAATGCGTTAGCCTTCTTAGTGAGATTGTTAAAAAGACAATTTCTTGGAGTTTTTCTTCTTTCTAAAACCCCCTCTTTTGCTAGCACTTCTCAAGTGTTAGGATCGCACAACAACGCACACACTCGATCTAGATGAACACAAAGAATAGGATAGAGAAAATGCAAGGAGAATATTTACGAAGGGTTTTGTATGGATGACTATAGATTATACAGTAAGAATACATTTTCAAAGCTGATATATAGATGATTCAGTTTAGTATATATAGCTTCACCAATATAATCATCTACTATATATAATTAGATATAGATAGCTTTTTACTATTTATTTACGGTGACAATTTACTTTTATTATGTATAACGGTTGACTAAGCTATAAATAAGCAGCATGCTAGAACCAAACTGTCTCACTATCCCTTAAATGTATTTTTGGATTCTGATTTTCTGGACCACGGGCGCATGAATCCTATCTTTTTTATTGGGCAGTTAGCATAGCGGTATATGATGCCTCGCCCTTCGGCATTGAAGAGGTATAATCTTTTGAACCTTTGGGCTTCAGTTTGATTTGATTTGGGCTTCAGTTTGGTTTGATTTTATTTGGGCTTCAACTAACTTTTCTCATGGGCTTTTTGATGATTAAGCTCCACGATGGCTAGCTTCTTTTTGTTTTTTATAAACCATCAGGTGTCAATTTCTTACACTAGTCTCATTAACATTTTAGCGTCGATCAGATATTCGTGTTTTTGGCTATGGAGTTCCTATTTAGTTCCTTTAGTCATTACTATCAATGCCTTCCTTGAGATGAGCATAACCAGATGCCAAAATTACAAGTTGCCAATCCTATCAAGGAATGACAGAAACATTTAAGAACCTAATGAACAGCAAGGAACTGAGGATGATCTATTCTCGGCTCGTTGAGACAATACACTCATAATTAATACAGTAGTTTTGTAGAGTCATGATACTCTATTATGCCTTTTGCCCCAATTCTTGAGGTGGTATTATGGATATCATAGCTAGAAGTTTCCATTAAGAGATCAGATTTAATGAAAAACGAGCTGGTCAAACCATTGGATGATACAAGCCCACGCAATACCAAGTCTTAGTTTATGGTTGCCAACCGCAATATTTGCCTTCCTGAATTGGGAAGTTTAGCATATAGTTTCTCCTTTTAGCTTGGGTTTGTAAGCCCTAGACATCTACTAGATGCATCGCTCACGTGGTTTCTTATCTTTCTTTTAAAATAAGCCGTGTCTTGGTTGGAGTGATTCTTTTCTGACTCCACCCCTTCATATTTTTTTTATTCCACTTTTATGATTTTCTTTTCCCCTCCTCCTTTTCCCTGCATCTCGAGGAACTTTTGGGCAATGAGACTAAAATGACGAGCCTAGTGACGATTATGATGTAAAGATATTTAAGCCTCGGATATATATATATATATATACTTTTTTATCCGTTTGTATTAAGATATAATATTTAGAGAATATATTATAATAATTAGTTAATGAATATATCTTAGATGTTCGATTTTATGTTAGGATTTGATTGTCATTTGATTAGCAGTATGATTTAGTTTGTTTATATTTTTCCCTTATTCTTAGCTATTAGTTGATAGCTTGTGTCCTGTTGTTTAAACGTTGTGAACATAGATAGCACTTTTCGATCTCACTTCTATTTCTCATTCTTAACAGTTTGGTCACTGAGTGAGTCATCTCACTTATCTCAGGTTTTTTTTCGCTTTCCCTTCATTATTTTGAATCCATTTTAATATGTCAACGTTACTCCTGGGGGCCCATTTATAAACTGAAGGTTATATACATAACATTACAAGGCCAGAGTTATAATCTTTAGCCTATAAGGGAGATCACCGATGACTTATCTGGCTGTTTGTAGAAGTCTATTGAAGAGTTGTATTGACTAAACTAGGTTGTTTAAATTAGCTTAGATAGTATATTTCTTTCTAAAATTTTAATATAAGAATCTGTACGAAATACTTGAGGGACACGATAGAGCGTTTTAAGCCAAGTATGTAGACTTTTCTGGCTGTTTGTAGAAGTCTATTGAAGAGTTGTATTGACTAAACCAGGTTGTTTAAATTAGCTTAGATAGTATATTTCTTTCTAAAATTTTAATATAAGAATCTGTACGAAATACTTGAGGGACACGATAGAGCGTTTTAAGCCAAGTATGTAAACACTAATTAAGTAGTACAACAGTGGTGAGGATTTTTAAAGCCTCTTGGTTAGTAGAAGATATTATCGGTATTAGAAACGATAGTACTCTATGATGTTAGAGGAGTTTGTGGCCGGTATTCAGAGAGGTAACTGTTACTTTCCCTTTTCGTTGAAAAGAAGGTGTAGAGATCCGAGAGTTCGCTTGGTTTGTGGCATCTTTTTAGGAGCAAAGGCTCCGAGGAAAGAATAAAGCTACAATATTTCAATCCACCCGGTTGGTACGACTGTGTGAATACTTTGTCGTGACACGTGGTCAAATAGGTTTCAAACTGGCCATTTGCTGGGTGTTTCTCGGGCTTTGATCTGGGTTAACTGTCTAAATTTGAAAACAGTTCCTAGCGTTACTGTACAGTTTTGAAGTCATTAAAAGATTGCCAATAAAACTGCTAGTGCGATGCTGTGTTTGGTCAAATTTATATTGGAGTGAGAAGCTTGAAAAGTATAATAAGTGTTGAATAAGTAACAGGGCTTGTGAAAGAGAACACCCCACTTTCTAGAGATCGGAGTTCCTACATTCATTCTTATGAGGATAGACTTATAAAGAGTTCTTTTCTTAGGCCGTTTTCGATTAGAGGGTTCCATTCCTCCACTGGACTAACAATGTGTATAAGGTAATAATTTAAGGGACAAGTCCAGTAACCCGTGTCTACACGGACATGGTGGTGCTTTATATAGCAGACTCAACTTGGTTAAAATTTTCAGGACCAATCCTCTTTCTTTTCTGTCACAAAGCAACCATCCTTCTCTTTTTGTGATGTCTCATATTGGTTGGAGAGGAGAACAAAACGCCCTTATAAGGGTGTGGAAACCTTTCCCTAGTAGACCCGTTTTAAAGCATTGAGAGAAAGCCCGAAAGAAAAAGCCTAAAGAGGACAATATCGGCTAGCGGTGGATATGGGTCGTTACACTTTTCCTCTCATGCTTATTTTAAGCACTCTACGTGTGTGGTTCTCTATGATAGATATTGGGTTGGAGGTGCTTGGTTTATGCGGCCTTTAGGAACATGTGTTAGGCGCACACAAACATAGTTGAAATAAGGAACATGTCGACATGATCAGTAGTAAACTGTCAGATTCCATTAGCTGCTGTTGGTTTCTGGATTTTCTTATTTTTTAAATTTTAATTGGTCAAAATAAAACACCATTTTGGTTTACTTTATATTTTAGTTTGCGTGTACTCTCAAATTATTGAATTTAGTTCTTTCCAATAAATCTTCAAAATGCTAATTAGTATTATGGTTAGTTTATTGCCAACTTTTCTTTGAAAAAATTAGTCTCTACTAGTTATTTACTTCTTAAATTTACGAAGCATATTCAATTGTGTTTTTTCTTGAATATTATCAAAGTTTGATAAAAATTAATTTCAAACTAACAAAAAAACACTAATTTTAAGGTATTTTAAATGTACACAATTTAGGAGTAACATTTTAATATTATTGAAATGATGTGTGCAGGAGTATTATTATATTACCTTATTTGCTCTGGGAAATGTATACAAGTCCGTCAATACAAATCCTTGATAATGTAATATAATATCAATTGTTTCCAAAAATATTAATCTTTTGGTATTAAGGAAAGGATATTCATATGGTTAGCAAAGAAAATGTGTTGGGGTAAAAGATCAATTACAAAATTGTGGGGTAGAGAATAGAAATTGTCAAGTTTTGCAGAGTAAATTTTTAAAGTATAATTTGTGACAGTTTGTATGCGCGATGAAATTTTGGTGGAAAAAAAAATGTATTTTGAGAAAAGGTAATGAGCAGGCATGTATATGTATGTTTTTTTTTAATATTACAATTGCATACAATGTGTATATGTGCGGGTGTTCATATGACTCGAGAATCCGGTCAATTTGGATTATTCAACCCAACTCATAAAGGTTAGTTGAATTAGATTTTTTTATTTATATATATATATATAGTTTAAGTTGGTTGAATTTTTGAAAAATTGAAAATTTGAGTCGTTTTGCAGGTTGATAGTTTTTAAGCAAATCAACCCGATCAATCCAAAAATAAGGTTACAACCTAACACTATTCTACTTTTAAAAGTATTATGAAGATCAAGAATATTTGACATTTGTAATCAATTTTAGTGATGTGGTGCGATATTTGATATTTGAGTTTTATGATAGTTTAGTTATTGATGTATAGATAAATATAAATTTTTTAAATAATTAAAAAAAAAAACTTGCAATCCAATCCAACTAAAGAAAATTAGGGATTGAGTTGGGTCGGGTTGCAAACTCTATTTGAAGTTGCTCTTTTGGGTAACCCAATCCAACCCTCGTATGTACTACCCATAGGTTAGGTTTCCAAATAGATTTAGATATTTTTATTAAAATGGTTAATTAATTGATTATGCTAAAGGCAAATAATTGTGGTAGTCTACTAACATAGAATATTGAAAATATTAGAAAATAAAATAAAGATCCAAATATAATAAATTTTGAGGATGCATCCATCTAGATGAACCCTACTTCGAAAAAATAATTTCTTGGGCTCAATCTTTTTGGTATTTCCAAATGAGGAAGCCTTAACTTCGGCCAATTTTCAGAAAATTGTGCTATAATTGTTCCTCCATGAGGCATGAGATAGACTTTTTAGGATTTCTTAGGAAAATGGTAAAGAATGTAATATTATCAATTTCTCGGTAAAAGACGCTCAACGTCTTCGAATTCCGATTCCGTGAATATTTATAAACTAGTGTGAATTTATTTATTATTCATTTATTTCTTTCACTTAATAATTTAAAATTTTAAAATTCAAGTTTGCTTAAATGGGCTATTATTATTTAATAGAGAGAAGGCCAAAAGTCGCAAAAGGAAAAGAATGTGTATTGTTTAAAGTATTGATCTTATTTGATTCTACATTATCTTGCTTTCTTCTTTTCATTGAAACTGCTGATCCTTGTTAAAATAGCTTCACAATTTTTATATGCATCAGGGATAGTTGAACATTGGTTATATATTGATATGTTAATCTGCATGTTGTTTTATCTATGTATCAATGTGATATGATATAAAATGTAGCAAAGGTTAGGAACTACGACTCTCCACAATTATATGATATTGTCCACTTTAAGCATAAGCTCTCATGGCTTTACTTTGGGCTTCCCCAAAAGGCCTCGTACCAATGGAGGTAGTATTCCTCACTTATAAACTCATTATCTTCCACTAAATTAACCTATGTGGGACTCACTCCCAATAATCCTCAACAATCCTCCCCTCGAACAAAGTACACTCTAAGCCTCCCTTGAGGCTTATGGAGCTCTCGAATAGGAGAAATTCTTTATACATTATTTTGTTCGAGAGAAAGTGTTGAATTGCAGAATACTAATGAGCAAGTTTGTAGATATATTTACTAAGGCACTTGCCAAAGTGAAGTTTGAAGTTTGAAGTTCTTCGTAAACACTCTTGGAGTTATCGATAAATAAGCTTGCACTAAGGAAGGCTATCAAAATTTAGTGTAAGTTATTGCCAGTTTGAATTAGTCAAGATATTCGTAATCAGTTAATATTTGGAAAATATATTAGGTATAGAATATATCTTAGATATTAGTAATAAGAAATTAGTTAATATTTTTCTCTATAGGATTTGATTTGTAGTATATTTTATTTTATTTTCAAGATTTAGTTAGTTTATATTTTCGTTATCAGTAGGTTTTAGTTGGTATCTTGTACCCCTATTTAAACGTTTGTGAATATCAATCCAGATTGAGCCTTCGATCCCAATTTTATTTTCCCATTCTTAACTCTGTGTTGTTTCGTTGAGTAATAATATCTTTAAATCTATTCACACTTTTGAATGGTAGACATTGGCTCATCGTCTATAAATGTTAAAAAATAGATCATAGAGAGTTGAATTTATGTATTATTGGAACAATGAGCCTAAATATTGAATGCCCACCTCGTGTAAGTGTCATTACCATTAGATTAAAGACGTATAGGGATCAACTCCACCTTTTCTACTTAGCAGTTGTCTTAGGATTTGCATCTCAAGATCCGACGGATCAAATTATGACACGGTCGGTTGTATAGAGGATGTTCCAGAATTGAACCCGCAGAATCCTCCTTTTGTAGTCTTTTCAAATTACAGGAAATTAAATTATTCAATTTTCTAGAGAATGTTCTTCATGCTAGTGGTGTATGTGCATTTGAGGTGTATAAGAGGAAGAATCAGCCATTAGTTTCAGGAGTGGAGGGTCTAGAGTGGGCACTGATCGTATCAGAGAGCTCTGTTTGGGAACTTGAACCAATTCTTACTTGCTGTCACTGACCAAGCTCCAGCATCAAACTTGCCTAATTTCTTCACGTTTTTTCATCTTCCCATTACTCCCCCCAGTGGCTTTTAAGATCTGGTTCTGAACTTCAATCACCTTCAAGTTGTTGTGTTGTTAGTTGAAGATGAAGGTGAGCTTGTTTTTTACTTGATTCATTGTTCTCTTGTTCTGTTCTGGCATTTATCTTGTGTAGTTCAATGCAGTTCTTCAGCTGGATGCAGACTAAACTAAACGGCAAACAGGAGAAGAAAATCCCACATACATTCTCTACTTCTCGTAAGCTTTTCTCTCTTTTCCAAACTGGTGTCTAGAAGTGGTACTAGCTGATAGGACAGAGTCGAACACTTTGTAATCTCAACGTTTTTAAAACGCATCTATTAATGAGGGGTTAATCTCTAAAAAATTGTAATCTCCTCCCCAACTGATGTGGGTGTTAATCGAACACGACTCTCCACAATGGCATGATATTGTCCACTTTGAGCCTAATCTCTCGTGGCTTTACTTTGGTCTTTCCCAAAAGGCCTCAAGCCAATGGAGAGAGTATTCCTTAATTATAAATACATGATCATTCCTTAAATTGGCCGATGTGAGACTTTCATCCAACGGTGGGATCTCACACATTAGACCTATGTGGCTTAATTGTTTCAACGGGGTTGGTGAAGAGACTGTTAGACGAACATGACTCTCCACATAAGCTCTCATGGCATTGCTTTGGGCTTCCCCAAAAGGCCTCACACCAGTGGAGAGACTATTCTTTGTTTATAAATCTATGATCATTCTTTAAATTAGCCGTGTGGGACTTTCATCATCCTGGCGTGGAGAATCGATTAAGTGAAATGGTTTTGGTTGGATCCGAAATTTAGTTAGCTGGATCAAGATCCCAATGCAAACGGGGACATGATTCAAAAGGTAACCCAAATCACCAACCTGCAAACTTGGGTCCATGTGCCTTGTTCCCTCGACCCTTTAAAATAAAATATTTAATACCCAAAATTTTCCATTTTTTATTCCCTTTGTTTGTCCACTTTCATTAGCTTTAGTTTATGGGTGCAAATCAACGTGAAAATCACATTGAAGTGTACAAATTGAATATGTTCCTTCTCCAACTTTGCAGAGCATAATAAACAAGAGTCTCGTGAAGAGTTCAGCGATTGGCCTCATGGATTGCTAGCAATTGGAACTTTTGGCAACAATGAGATTAAAGATGAACAAGACATACAAGAGGAGGAGGATCCATCTTCTTCAGAAGAGATAGTTGATATCTCTCCTGAAGAAGTTGGTAAATTACAGAAAGAGTTAACGAAGCTTTTATCTCGAAAACCGAACGCCGAAAAGCAGGTTGCAGATCTTCCATTGGATAGATTTCTCAACTGTCCTTCAAGCTTGGAGGTTGACAGAAGAATCAGCAATCCACTTTGCAGTGATTCAGATGATAAAGATGAAGATATTGAAAGAACCATTGGTCTTATCATTGGGAAATGCAAAGACATTTGGGCTGATGGTAAAAAGAAAGCAATTGGGAAGAAATCTATCTCTTTTCTGCTCAAAAAGTTGTTTGTTTGTAGTAATGGCTTCACTCCTTTACCACCACCAAGTTTGAGAGAAACTCTTCAAGAGTCTAGAATGGAAAAGGTACGTAATTTTTTTGCATATTCGTTATTTGTGATGTCCCACGTCGGTTGGGGAGGAGAACAAACCACCAATTTATAAGGGTGTGGAAACCTTCCTCTAGTAGACGTGTTTTAAAACTTTGAGGGAAAGTCCGAGAGGGAAAGCCCAAAGAGGACAATATCTGCTAGCGGTGGATTTGAGCCGTTACATTATTACATCCTTAAGGTCAAATCAGCTTTTGAATCTGATGTTCTTTTCATTTCGATGGCAGCTTTTAAGAACAATTCTCTTAAAAAAAATCTCCCCACAACACGCCTCTCGATCTTCATCGTTGAAGAGGTACATAGAGGAAAAACCGTCACCAAGAAACGATGGAGAAGAACAGAAAAAAGATGCCAAAGATGGATCCAAATGGGACAAGACTGATTCTGAGTGTAAGTTCTTAAACTTTTTAAAACCGTGAGGCTGACAACGATATGTAATGGGTCAAAACGGTAATATTTGTTAGTGGTGGGCTTGGACTGTTATAAATAGTATCAAAGTTGGTCACTGAGTGCGTCCTCCAAGGAGGGTGAATTGTGAGATCCCTCCAATGTCCCATATTGGTTGGGGAGGAGAACAAAATACCATTTATAAGGGGGTGGAAATCTTACTCTAGCAGACTAATGGGAAAGCCCAAAGAGGACAATATCTGCTAGCAGTGGATCTGTGTCGTTACAGTTAGAGAGGGGAATGAAGCATACCTTATACAGGTGTGGAAACCTCTCCCTAATGGCGGTACGTAATGGGTCAAAGTGGACAATATCTGTTAGTAGTGGGCTTGGGCTGTTACAAATGGTATCAAAACCAGTCACTAAGCGGTGTGTCATCCTCGTTGGACCCCTAGGAGGGTGGATTGTAAGATCCCACATTTGTTGGAGAGAGGAACAAACCATAGAATCTCTATATAATAGACGCATTTTAAAACCTCCTAACGAGTCAAAGTGGATCTAACCTTTCTAACAACCCGTCTTTTTTTCACTATTACAGATATCGTTCTCGAGATATAATCCCGTCTCCTTTCCTAATCAATCTTCCATCTAACTGATTTGAAGAAGGTAACAACAACTCCTTACTCACTTTCTTCAATATATTTCATTTCATTTCACACATCAATGACTAATCTTCAAATTCATGACTTCTGCAGATATTCAATCTCCACCCTTTGTCTCGGATCGAACAGTGGAGATGTTGTTCATCACATTGAAACATCTTATTGACAGTGCTTACATTTTTTTCATGGTTGTATGTTACAGAAACAGAGCAACTCATGTTTTGAAACATCGTCAAAAAAGTGTTCATGTGATGAACAGAGGGTTGCATTTTTTTCACTTTAATTTGCTGCATAATTCTTCTTCGATGTTGTTGGGGGCTCCCTTTGTAACATATTTGAGGCAAATAACATTTTGTATTGTAATAAAGTTTCCAAGACAATGTTGTTGGGGTACGTTGCTTCCTGTTGTGCGCCAAATGCTACAACTACAAAACCATGATACCGATTGTTGTAGCGAAAGAGGAACGAATGTATTCACAACTACAATGAACGGAATTACATGGAATTACACAAAAAGACACCAAGATATTTATGTGATACGGAAAGAAGTCCACTTACATCTACGAGTAGCAAACAATCACTAATAATCAAAGTATTATAGGTGAATACTTCACTCTTACACTACAAAGACTCTTACCAAAATGTCACGCAAGAATACAATGTGACACACAAAACTCTATCAAATTTCGATATCAACAACTTCCTAGACAAGCCCATTGTACCGGAACAATGGTTTGAATCATTATGAAACTAAATAAGATTAATATTAAAATAGTTACAAAATTAATAATATTCTATTCTTATTTAATTCAGATAGTTAATAACTAAATTAAATAAAAAACTTATGACAATTTTCAACTATTTGTGTTATAAACGTGATGTGATTATTTGATTTAATTTCAATAAATTTATATCATATTCGATCACTAAGCTTAGGTTGTGCACAACTTAGGTTGGAGAAATGATTTAGGTCAACTCGAAATTCAAGTTATTTGGGTTGGTGACTTAGCAATTTGAATAGAGTTCACAACTCAACTCAACCCAACTTTTATTTTTGGGTTGTTTTATTATTATTATTATGATTTTAGAAAATCTTATTTATCTACCATACACATTATATTACTAATTAAAATTTCATAAGGTTCAAAAATCAATTATTTACAAGTCATAATGCATCACTAACACCGGTTACAAACGTCAAATATTCTTAATTTTCATAACAATCTTAAAAGGTATGGTCAGTATCTCGTCTCAAAAAAAAAAAACCCTTATAATTAGTATCTCGTCTCAAAAATACTCTAAAAAGTTTGAAGATAAACTATAAGATGTCGATAGACGATAAAAATTAATTTGAATTTTTTTTATAAACATAAATGGTGTTAAAGCTACTTTTTCAGATATATTTTTCAAATATCATACTAATAAAAGTATTTTTGTATTTTTTCTTAAAGTATTAATAAAACTTTTATATTTTTAAAACAAAATATTAATAAAACTTTTAAAACTTTTTTTCAGATTTATTTTATAAATGTTTTTTTAGAAAAAATACAAAATTTATAATTTTTTTTTGTTAATGCAACAATATTTTGGATAATTTAACCCATAGATAATAACAAAAGCCCTACATATTAGAAGTATTGAGATGAATGTAAAATATTAAGTACAAACTCAAAACCAGACCAACACAGCAGCTGGAGCTTCAATCTTCCGGGCTTCCGACACGTTTAGGCCGTCTCTCACGAAGCCCTAACTCTTTTTTCAATTTTTCTTCTTCAATTTCTCCTTCTCTTTTACGCTACGAATTCAATTGGATCTGAGCGCTTCGTTACCCTTTTCGATTCGTTTTGTTTCTGTTTGCATTTTCTTGTTCTTAATCAGACAGCAAATTTCGTCCTTCAATCGTTTGTTTCCAGTTTCGAGGAACTTTCTGGAACGTGAAGACAGGGTCTTTGAGGAAATTCTCCAAGGATTTTGAGGGATTGGCTGGGAATCTAGGCAGCCAATGCTACTGATTTCGTTTTTAGTTGAAGGAAATTTTCGGTGATTTTTATTATTATTTCTACTGGAAAAGTGTTGGAGTTCGCCAATGTCTTGGGCAAGCGCGGAAGATATCTACCTTTCAACTTCTCTTGCCAATTACCTTGACAGTATGTTGCTTCTCTATCGATTCTTCTGTTTTGTTTGTCAGATAAACGGGAAATTAGAAACCAATTCGCGTTTTTCTTTATTTGAAGTTAGTGCTACTGGATTCGTGTGTTTTGCTATTTTGTGAAATGTGGTATTTGGCTCTTGATCGTCATAGGGTTTTCCTGTCAATTTGTTCTGTATCGCAACTCTTTGATTGATAATGCTTTCTGACTTGATCGTTGTTTTTCAAGTGTAATGCTGTAACCCTACGGAGACGTTGCTGATTGCCATTATAGGGATCTGTCTGTTGATATGCAATTCCTTAAGAAATTATGATATATTCAACCAATTTTTTTGTTTACCTTGATTTGAGGCATGCCTGATTTGAAGCTTATTTTTCTAAATTCAGTACGGTATATAGACATATGAGAATAAATCATGATACTGTTTGGCTTGAATACATGAATGAGCATCAATTTATCTTTTCTGGGGAACATTTTAGCAATGTAAAAAAATTCATTCGAGTCTAAGTCCACTTCGAAGAGAATTTAGCACAAATATGTTTTTATTTGATGATTGCTTTCGTTCCCTCGTCCTTTCCGGAGATAATGGATAAGAAGAGTACATCTCCGTGAGATTGTACTTAAATATGAATATTAGCCTTTTCTCCAATGTATCCAAGATATGACCAAGGTGGCACCTCTTTGAAAGAGCTGCCATGGTCAACTGGTGGCATAGGCGACTCGTCTCGCCTCGCCTATCACCATATGCAATTGTCTAACTCTGCCTTGAAAATGTTCGTTTCAACTTTGATTTGACACGATCAAACAGGAGGATCTTAGAGGATAGAAGATAATTTACCTTTGCCCTGTGTTGATAATTTAACTCTGCCTTGAAAATGTTCATTTCAACTTTGATTTGACATGATCAAACGGGAGAATCTTAGAGGATAGAAGATAGTTTACCTTTGCCCTGCGTTGATAGTATTTTAGCAATGAGCTAGTGTAACAATCAGCACGGGTCTTCCTCGTACTAAATGCCATATGGCTGTTGTACAGCTGACTTCCTTCTAAATGATTGTTTGGGTATAGAGCTCTGTAAAAGAATTGAGAACGGAGTAAGAGATTGCATTAGTTTTTCCACCAATTGCATGATTGGAGAAAGCCAGAAAACCATATTATTTAGAGATTTCAACATGTTTGTATTCTTTAAATTGTATGGAGAAGGATTGAGAAAGCTAGTGTTGCTCCTCATGGCATGATGGTTTATGGATTTCATCAGCATGCATCTGTATTTTGTTCTCTTACATTTGTAGAGTTGCTGTTCTAATGATAATTTCAATCTTTAGAGAAGGTTCTGGTACTCCTTCGAGATGGTCGGAAGCTATTAGGGATACTCCGTTCATTCGATCAATTTGGTATAGTTCTTTTCGAAACGTTATCTCATTTTATACTTCATCGTGTTAACATGTTCCCAGAGCCTGAAGAACTAACTGTTTCTGTATTCAGCAAATGCCGTTCTTGAAGGATCCTGTGAAAGGGTGATCGTCGGTGACCTTTACAGCGATATTCCTCTAGGCCTATACGTAATTCGAGGGGAGAACGTTGTTTTACTTGGCGAGCTGGTAGGACGAATCTTAGATTTTCTCGGTTTCCTTTACTATTTGCCTTCCCAGCTCTTAAAAATTTTCTTTTGGACTCGATAGGATTTGGAGAAGGAGGAGCTCCCTCCACACATGACTCATGTCTCTGCTGTGGAGATCAAAAGGGTAAGTGATGCCAACTCTGAAATTAGTCTGCTGTGTTCTTGGTGATATATCTGTTGGAAACTAGCATACACCATTTGCTTGTGTAGCTGCATATAAATGTTGTTGGCATTTACAAAGTAGAACATGTTTTTACAGGCCCAAAAGGCAGAGAGAGAGGCTACAGATCTTAAAGGTACAATTAGGAAAAGGCTTGAGTTTCTTGATCTGGACTGATAATTGCTGTTTCAAAATCTTGGATTTGTTAGCTTAGCTTTCTTGTTTCTATGTCAATCTCTGCTCTGCTCACATGTTGGTTCTGTTATTAGACAATTCAGAGCCTATTTTTGGTGTCTACAATCTTAAACATTATGTGATGAACTTCAATTTTCTCGTGTAATATTTTATTCGATAAATAAAAACCCCGTCCTCTTAATCCTCTGTTGGCAATAGGTCAACGATTGAGTTGCTCGGTACTTACGGTAGAAGAATTGACAATGACTATTTATACCAGAGCTCAAATAATCCCAATCAGCTTCACTTATGGGAGAAGAACTGATAATGACCATTTATACCGGAACAAATGGTTTTCTTGATTCATTAGAAAGTGAACAAGGAAATTATTCCTCGATGAATTACGTACTTAGACATTCACCACGGAAGCTTCTTTAACTTCAGCTAAATTTGAGTATCATTCAGGGTGGCACCATTGGCAAGGTCTGTTTGGGCAAGGTCTGTTTTGTATTACCCAAGTGGATGAAATTGGATATGTCTGAAATTTTGAGAATATGTTTAAAATTTCAACATAATATGTCTTATTGATGATGAAATCTCGGAACACCTCTTACGAGCTCAACTTTGCTGCGTTGTAGGCTTTGAAACTATTAGTCGAAGTTCTTCTCGAGAGATTATATTGTCGACGTAAAAGTAGAGATGTCTATAGAACATTCTAGAAACATATCCTTCTCTTATTTCAATCTCTATCCCACAAATTTCCTCGTTCATTCTTATGGAATGTGGGTGGGGAGGGAACAGATGGGGACGGGAATGGATAATATAATTTTTATCTTTGGCTCCGTTTAGCTGATAAGAAGAAAATCTCTTTTCGCTTTCTCTCCTATTTTTCATCTGTGGGACGTGGGTAGAGACAAAAACGAATAATATAATTTTCGTATTTGACCCCGATTCCTCATTGATTCCTGTGGGACTTGGGCGGTGACGGGAACGAATAATATAATTCTCGCATTTGACCCGATTTAACTGATAAAAGAAGAAATTTATTTTTGGTCCCTCACATTTACATTTTAATTCAAGGAACATAAATGGCGCCCTACATTATTTGGTTTTATTGTTATGCACCGTAACTAACACGAACGGTAAAGCCAGCCAAATTCCCAAGTAGATCTGACGGCTCAGAAAAGGCAAAGGGGAATCTAATCAAGCGGCCCCAACACGCACACGTGTCCTTCCACATTTTGACTCTCCGCACAAAATTCCAAATATCCAATTAATT